AACCCTCCTGCTGTTTGTGGTTCTCCACCACATTATTCCGTCTCCCTTCTTTTGCAACTTTTCTCCAAGCCTACTCCAACTTCGTCTGGTTTAGAACAGAATTTGAAATTTTTGAAAACAATCAAAGGCGCATTCCCTTCATGACCGGATGAGTGGGAAGACACATTCCGTTATGACGGAATCAGTGGAATCACATAATCATTGTGCTTTCCTCACTGGCGTGCTCCTGTTCATTGCCGTGCTAGAAGGGACACCAATATTAGTTAGGACACAATAGTCGGGGCTCCTGTCTATTTCCCCGCCCATCCAGTCATCGCGGAATCTATATTCAAGCTGCATAAGTAATTTTTCTTTGAAAACTTACGGAATAATCCTGTAAGTGCAGGTCGAGATGCACTGGTGTGAGATCATCATCGGTCATTTGAGGCTGCCATGAGGAGAAGAATAGAGTCCCCATCCAGAGGCGAAGCATGTCCTGTAAAATATCATGTAGGTGCAGAACGCATACAAAAGCTTCCAGCGAAGTCTGATGCAAAATCGCTCAAGAAACCGAGACACAGGAATCAAAATCTACAAAAACAGCTAAGGACAAGTTCCACGCTGAATGTCTCGGTGGAGCTGGACCTGCCGTTGCGCCTCTCTCACTGCCCAATTCTTAAACGCAAAGGAGGGGTTGCACGTCAGTGAGAAGCGCGCAAACGCGTGCCTTACCACGCCCATGTAGAAAGCGCAAAATGCGCCAGTCATTCATTTTCGAACTTTTTCTATCATATTAGAATTAGTTCTAGAAGCCCTCTACCTACAGAGTAACACAAGGCTTTCTTGGTCATAGGTGGCTAGTCACAGAATGCCGAGAAAAAGGCGCATATTTTTCAGGAATGAAACGAATTCAAAAGGAAGAAATTACTATTCCACGAGTTTCATGAAAAAAGACTCAATCTTTCAGGTTTCCTGATGATCTGGTGGGGATGGCTGGCATTTAATACTTCGTCCAACTATTCCGTCTCAGAACATCAGTGGACTGAAGGAAGCCGGTAAGAAATTTCAGCCCAGCTTGAAGTCCCTTTTCACATGGCGAATCAGTACTGTTTTGCTCAAGGAGGCATTTTGCATTTCCGCTATTTTCTTCTGTTAGTTCCTGTTGAAGTACACGCCCCATCTTGGTGAGACATGTAGACTTTCGAAGCTCAGGCTGTGGCATAGCTTCTTAGGAACTTACAAGGTTCCATCTAAGGCATCGCAGAGATCGATGGGGAGCATCAAAATGACCCCTCCAAGTCGAACTGCACCTGGCGAATCTGTTAAACGATAACTTCAGATCAGCTGTTGGGACCATTATGGCATCAGTCGGTGGTGGAATGGTTACAATACTGATTTCACGATACACAACGAAGAAGATTGCGGTCGACATGTTCATCGATGGACTGCTAGCCTCTTTGGTGTCAAGTACAGGTACGCAGCCAACTCCTGGGATTCACCAGAGTATAGAGAGTCGCGGTCAAAACAGCACAATAAGACTTGAGGAATAAAATAGTTTTCTCAGGTGGCTGCCTTTTCTACACCCCATGGCAGGCAACCTTGGTCGGGGCGATCGGGTCAACGTTGGCACTAATAGCGTACCCGGTGTTGGAGAAAGCAAAGGTATGCTGTGAATATTTTGGGAATAAAATGTCTCCATAATCGCATAACGGCAGTAAGTCCTGCAAACTGAGTATTTTAGATCGATGATCCAGTTGGTGTGATTCCTGTGCACGTCGTCGGCTCCGTTTGGGGTATGATCAGTCCTGCGATTTTCGTCTGTCGCGACTTTGGTCTGGAGGAACACAAGGTCTTTCAGGACTTGACTGTCACGAAAAATTCCCGGCAATAGTTTTTTCAGGTGACAAATGAGAGCAAACTCTCGGGACTTCTCTATGGTGGCGGCGTGACATTACTGCTCTACCAGCTCGCAGCTATGGGTGCGATCGCCACCTTCAGCGCATTGTGCGCATTCGTGATACTTTGGGTGAGCTTCACTTCAGTCTCTTCACATTCATGTGGCGCTAAATTGTAGTTAGCGTTTGAAATGAGAGGTATCGTCCATACCGGGAGGAAAAAGGAGCGTCTATGCTGTTCATTCGCCGGCCTATTGTCCTTTTTTGTGCATAGGTCCTTGCCTCCCGTTGGTTCCCTCTTTCTAGCGCTCTTGTCCAATTGCTATCATGTACGCCTTTTTGACCAAAACTCCCCAACGGTTCCGCTTTCAGGTATCGGCTACGGACAAGCCAGCAACAGTCACGTCCATCTAGAAGTTGTCTTTCCATCCCGTTCTAGGTCGGCCTTTTGGACGCGTGACGACAAAGACGATTTTACCAACGAACTTTCATACAAGTCTTCTTTGAAAATGACCATAGTAGCGGCGACGAAATGCGGCAAGATGGTTGGCAACTGGTAATTGATCTTGTCTCGAAAGGCTTCGTATTAGATTTGGTCAGATCGTGTACGTCCCAGGCACTCTCTTCTCCATGAGCTTCGTAAGCTCTTGTTTCCCTCGGTCGTCACCCGCTTCGTTTTTGTTCCGTAGGTGACGGCTTTTTTCACGACTGAAGTGCAGACCCTTGACTTCAGGTTTATCGGCATTCTCTTATTACAGATTATGCTAATAAGAACTTCTCTTTTGTTGCATGCAGCGATGATTCTTGCAGTTGTGCCGGCCTTGACATCTCCGTCTGCCGCTAGCGTAGATCCGAGATAGCAGAACCTTGTTGCTCTGGGGAGGTGTGTCATTGACCACGATTGACAAACTAGTTGCGGTGGTGCATATGTACTCCGTCTTGCTCATGTTAACCCTGAGTCCATGCTGCCAGGACTCTCTTCCAGCGGTTGACGCGCCGTTCTGATATCCTTTTGGACCGGTCCATCGGCAGTACATCGTCAGCATATCTCAGCGTCCAAGGCAGCTCTTATCAGATATTCCTCGTCGTGTGGTCCATACAAAGAATGAGCAACAGTGACCAGAGAGCCATTCCTTTCAAGTTTCAACAGCAACCGGAAA